CCAAGCTCAAGGGCGACCTCTGGTACGCCGACTTTGAGGGCTCCTTCGTCGCTGAGGAGGATTGCACCTATGAGCTCGGCCTCATCGTTTGCGGCACGGCCAACCTCTTTGTCAATGACAAGCTTGTCATTGACAACTCCACCAAGCAGCGCCAGGGCGATGCCTTCTTCGGCGCCGCCACTGTTGAGGAAAAGGGGCGTGTCGAGCTCAAGAAGGGCCAAAAGTACACCTTTAAGGTCGAGTTTGGCTCGGCCCCGTCGTCCAAGTTGCAGGGCGACAACGTTGTCTTTGGCAGCGGCGCCCTCCGCATGGGAGGATGCAAGGTCATTGACGACAAGGCCGAGATCGAAAAGGCCGCCGCCCTCGCCAAGGACGCCGACCAGGTCATCATCTGCTCCGGTCTCAACGCTGACTGGGAGACGGAGGGCAACGATCGTGCCGACATGGACCTTCCGGGCTACCTCAACAAGCTCATCTCCGCCGTTGCCCAGGCGAACCCCAACACGGTCGTCGTCAACCAGTCCGGCACCCCGGTGCGCATGCCGTGGGTCAAGGACGTCAAGGCCCTTGTCCAAGCGTGGTACGGCGGCAACGAGACGGGCAACGCCATCGCCGACGTGCTCTTTGGCGACGTCAACCCCTCGGCCAAGCTCTCGCTCAGCTTCCCCGAGCGCGTCCAGGATAACCCGGCCTACCTCAACTACCGTGCCGAGGCCAGTCGCACGTTGTACGGCGAGGATGTCTACATTGGCTACCGCTACTACGAGTTCCTCGACCGCCCCGTGCTCTTCCCCTTTGGCCACGGCCTGTCGTACACGACCTTTGGCTTCGGGGACCTCCAGGTCCGCGAGGCTGACGGCAAGCTCGCCGTGGACGTGACGGTCAAAAACACGGGCAAGGTGGCCGGCGCTGACGTCGTCCAGGTGTACGTTGCACCCAAGCAAAAGGCAAAGATTAACCGCCCGCTCAAGGAGCTCAAGGGCTTCGCCAAGGTGTCGCTTGCGCCTGGCGAGAGCAAGCAGGTTACGGTCAACATTGAGACCAAGTACGCCGCCAGTTACTTTGACGAGGAGCGGCACCAGTGGTGCGCCGAGGAGGGCGAGTACGAGGTAATTGTCAGTGACAGCAGTGTCATCACAGACAAGGCCCTCAAGGGCAGCTTCAAGGTCAGCGAGACCTTCTGGTGGTCTGGTCTGTAGAGACGTCTATGCGTCACGATGTAAAAAGCAGGGAGCACCGGTCGGGAGAAAATGTTCAGGATACACAAGATTGAATGAATGAATGATTGATATTTATGCATGATAATTTGCTTCGTAGTCCAGCCAGAAACGTCCCTTTGATAAAGATATTAATGTTTAGATGTATCCGTCGCAATGTCATGCTGCGTCATATCTTTCGTGTATTCGTAATCGTCACACGCCAATTTCAGGCGATATGTCCGAGAAACTTTGGAATCACAAACAAACTCCCTGCCGATGATCAAATGCAAACCTCATACTGCGACCTACGCCGCGCTTTCGCTCTTCCGCCTTACATCCTCATCCGAGCTCGGTCTTATACTAGACTCGCTTGGTTGTGAATCAGTTGGGGGTAGCCAAGGCTCGGCGTCACCCAGTCTTTGAACAGTCATGCCTGCGTTCCCGGCATTCTTCATCCCGGATTCGAGCTGACGCTGATAAGAGATGCGACGAAGGCGCTCAGCTTCTGCGGGTGTCAAATGAAGCTGTTTCATCTCGTTAGTCTTCATCCCTTGCAGACTTCAGAATAGCGACACGCAAACCACCAGAAAGTGAGGAACCATGAAACGAGGGAAGAGAGGAGTTGGGGGGGGGGGGGAGACATACGTAAATTTCAACAAGGATAGCGTGGATCACCAAGGCGAGCCATGATCCCGAATCAAAGACGGCTGTGAACCCGGCTGAAATCTCGGCAGGCTGGTGAGCGGTGATGCTGGCGTGGACAAGGACGCTGAGGCCGGGGTTCTCCCCCGAGTAGTAGCCGTCGCAGCCAGGATAGAAGCCGAGGACTTTGTTCTGGTCGTGACGGAAGATAAAGTCCACCATAGCGCACTGCTTTACTTGATAGTAGTTCGACTCAGCCGTGATCATGGCAGCGAGGTACCCAATGATGCGCATCGTGATGATGAAACCGGCCTGTGGGAAAGAACAGCTTCGTTAGCCCACGTGCAGCGGAAGAGTACGTGTCTTTCTTTCTGTTGGAACAAGTGATATCTTACGTATACCCAGGCTCTGAGCATCCATGCCCGGTGCTGCTCGATCTGGAGTTTCTTGATGTTGTAGATGGCAAGGGCAAGGGCTCCGAGGAACATGAGGCTGGCGGTGCCAGAAACAGTCTGCATGCTCACGCCACCACCAAACGTCCGCCGTGCAATGAGAAAGACACCAATGATTCCCACTATACTCAGGAGAACGATGAGATACCCATTAAGGCGATGAAACAGGATAGCCTTGCGACGTATGACAGGGACGAATTGTAGACAGGCAAGAAAGCCTGCCGGTATGACACCCGCGAGGTGCATGATGATTCCGATCCGTGCCGTGCCCTTTTGAAAATAGTAGCACTCTCCCGGGAGCGCCCTCGAGTCGTGCGCCGGATTACAGAAGACGCCGTTGAAGTTGAAGTACATCATGCGGGCGAGTGTGAACCCCATCATACCCCCCGCGGTGATGACAAAGAGGGTGAAGTTGTACCCCTTCTTGAACCCGATGGGATTATAGACCTTGCGCGCCAGGGCAACGAAGCCGTTGGCTGGAGGTTTTGAGCATGGAGAAGAAGCTGTCGACATGATGGGAGGTGATTCTCGTGAGATCACGCGAGATCGGGGTGAGCTGAAGTGAGACAGCGCCGCCACTTTTCTCGCTTCCTTCTGTCTGTTGAAGAACGGGGGAAATGAGCTGCTCAGTCACAGATGAGCCTGAGCTAGGTTTAGGAGAGGGGATGGCCCTCATCATATATGCTCAAAAGGAAAGTTCTGGCCCTGAACAGTTGCCGGGGTCTTGAGCCAAGAACCCAAAGGATGAGAGGCGTTGCCTTTCTTTGTCAAAAGCAGGGGTTAAGGGCAAACAGCAAGTAAGAGCGGGCGAATGGCTTTACGCGATTGTCCACAACGCAGCAAACAAGGCAGGGTATGGCAGCATCAACCACCGGTTCTCCCGTAAAAGACGCATCATGGGGGCTGAGAACGTAGGATTGGTCGTCTTGACAGCACACCGAAGCCATGTCTCACGTGTTGCATGGCACCATGAAATGCTGGACAGGCTTAGCTTGGAGAGTGCTTCCACCTGAGGACGTTGCAACTTTGCCCGACGTATTTCCCTCGGCCGAGTAGGTGGGAACAAATGGCCCTTTCGAGGACTGGAGCATACTTCTAGACATGCGATGGGGGCTGCTCCAGCCTCCTCGGTGTCGGGCGGCTAGATGTCAGAAGCTCGAAGCATGGGGCCCCCCTAGAAGCAGGTTACAGGTGGCGTCCGGGAAGGCATTACGGGACCTGAACTAAGAAGCCTACCGGTACAGCCAAAGCAGCCAGCGGCAAAGAGGATCAATGGCGGCAAGGGGACGGACTAGGCTCGACCTCGCGAAGCCTCTCGCAGTCGTAAGCAGTGCTCGGCCATCTTTGATTGCCTTTTGACGGGTGGGAAAAGGCCTGACGTGCATGTTGGTGTGTGTTGTACGGCATGCGGCCGTACGGACGAGATCGAATGCAAGCGGGCCGCATTAGTGCCGATACGGAGGGCGGGGCCGGGTCAGGAAGAGGCGAGATAGTTTAATGCGCCCCGTAGCGGTGTGCATGTGCCTCATCGAGGTTCGTCACATTTATGATCCATCGTAGGACCGTATAGGCGGAATCCGGGCCTTCGAAACGTTGCAGGATGGTCTGCGAGCAACGAACCGCGCTGCAGACGGCTGTTCGCCTCGCATTTTGCCGCTGCCGGATGCGTGCCCCCAACTGCGATGCGACTGCCGCAGTCTTCCCGCGCAGATTAGACATATACGATTAGGTAGCTAGGCGACGAATAGTGAGCGACTTGGTAAACCGTTGGTAGGAAATAGGCCCCGGTTGACCAAACTACATACCTCGTCTTTCAATATCCTTGAGAGCCGGGGATACAACGAATAAATTGTCCCAAATCTCAAAGAAGCGAGATTCACCTTCCACTGGTCTGCTGGGCCACATTGGCCTAGCAGCTAGGCAGTCAGACGGCGGTTTGAAGTTGGCAAACAGGCAAGCAAGGGGTCTCTATTCGGTCATTTGCCCACTTGTTTTGGGTGGACGGTGACCGACCTAGACCGTTGATGGGCGTTGAGAATTGGAGCTTTGACGTGGAGTGAGGAGGTTAGCAAGCATGGCGAGGAGGGGAAACCGATTTTTGGGCAGAAAAAGGAAGCATAAAGTGGCCCATCGCCGAGGCTTCTTCTCCTTCTCCTTTTCATCGCGCCATCGAATTTTTCCACACTAGTGTCTGGTTGACTGAGGTAGGAGGTAGGAGTCCGTACAGGCAGCTGCGCAGGCGTGATCGAATATGGAAGATATCCGTACTTATGCAACTGAAATCAACGTGAAAGACAGGAATAGGTAGAGGGAGAAGAAGACGGGGGATAGACGCCGGAGAGAGGCACAGAGGTTGGAAGGTGCTAAGGTACGTACCCATCCGAGTGTCCACCACCTCACCTTCCATCCTGGTTCGCTAATATGGAAGGTGAGGTGGGTCGTTCGGTATCCACTCCCTCCGCCAACTCTCGACTCACGCGTTGCCGTCCTGCCGCATCCGCACCCGCGCCCCGGCCGCGCCTCCGTCCTCAATCGGCCCACGTCTCATCTCATCTTACCTGAGATCCAAGCATCCAAGTAAGCTCCTGCCAAACACGCATTCCACGCAACACTCACACAATTCAAGACAAGCTGTCAACCTGTCAATCTCTTTCTTTCGCCGAGTTTATTGTTTTTCTTTCCATCTCTCTCCTGCTTGCCTCTCAAGATGGCCCAAGCCCCCCTTCCACCCACCGTCATCGCCCAAAAACAATCTTTCCTCGCTACCCAGGCTCGTCTGCTCTCCCGACCCCTGCAACCCTCTCGTGCATGGCTCGCCGCCAACGAGGCCGCCGAGTCCTCCATCCCGGACCCCGTCGTCGAGCACGTCGCCGCCCGCCTCAACACGACCTTGCTGCAGCACTCGCGACGCGCCTACTCTCACCAAGCGAGCCGTCACGTCGCCGAGCAGATTGACGCGTTGTACCTATCTCAACTGTCGGCCGCGCGAAGTGACTCCTCCGAGGGTCTATCCCTTTCTTTGGACCTGTGTATGTTCTGTGTATTCCGCTCCGTGTAGCGCCAAAGACTAATGGGAAAAACCACCAAAGCCGAAGAGACTGCCGTAAGGTCGCTTCCCTTGGCATGGCCAGCCGGGCGTGATGCAACTAGCTTTCCTATGGAAGCCAAAAGGTACGCTGAAGTCGCTGGCCGCTTGAAAGAACTCGCCGAGAAGAGGCAGCACACCAGAGCTCGTGTTGAACGGCTACGGCGCATGAAGGCACTACTTGATCCCTTCCGCACCGGAGATGCCGGCGCGGGTGTGCAAGAGAATCTCGTCACCCGCGATGGCGAGATTGAAAAGGAGATGGAAAAGATGCGTGCCCTGCTGGCTCGTGTAGGTGGTCGTGTAGGACTTCTACCCAAGTCCGCCGAGTCTGCAGACCTGCTCAAAGAGGGCAACTCCTTGATTGTAGAGCCTGTAGCTACAGGAGAGAAGCGCAAACTTGACGACCTTCTCGGCAGCTTCTGACTGGCCACACAAAGAGGCCCAAATTAAATTTCAAAGAGCACCTGTGGGAAAGCAACGGTAGGGTAGCTCAGGCAAAAGGATTTTGTGTTCAAGTTGTATAGTGGCGTTAGGTTCTAGGCTTAAAGGATACCCCCGGATTTATGAAAAACTACTTTTTTCCCCTGTAATCCCGGCACGTTCATTCTGGGACGTATATCAAGCTTGAAAGTCGAACGTGTACCCCAAGGAATCAACGCCAGGAGTCGCTCTTCTTTTCTTGCTAGCATCAGAGCGAGACAGCTTTGAAGCATCGCTGAGGTCCTCACTGGTAGGCCGGATACTCTTCTTTCTCTGTTTGATTTCTCCTTCCAGCGTGGCATCTTTGGCACTGTCATCCACGTCCAGACCTTTTGACTTCTTGTCACCTGGCTCTGCGGTTTTTAGAACTGCCTCCTCTTGGGGATATAAGCTTGGCCGCACAACCCGAAGGTTGCTAATAACCTCTTCTTGATCTTCATCCGTTACCTTGGAGTACACTCGAAGTCCCACTACAGCCACAGCATTCCATGGATCTCTCTCAAACTCGTCTTGTTCCTCGGCAGGCGCACCAGGGGGTGGCTGCGGGGGCAGACGGTCTGTACTGGGCTCCCGCTTTTCAACAGCGTCAATTTCAAGCTCCAGTTCCCGCTCAGAAAGTTCCGACATGGATGAAACACTTGCAATGCCATCGTCGTCTGACTCGCATGGGTAAGGTGCGGAATACTCCGATGGGGGTGCTTCTTCACTCATCACCTCTTCGACATCTTGAAGGGTAGCCTCCTGCACCTCACTTCTGACTTTGACTACCTCGCGCCTATCGCCTCCGGAACGCTTGTTTGTAGGTTTCGGAGGTGTCAAAGATCCCGGGCTTCTCTCGGTGATTTGTTCCAGCATTTCAGCCGACTTCAAGACTCGAGGTATCGCTCTGTCTTTGTGGCGGGGGGAAATCGGCACGTCCTCACCTGCCATGGTACCTGAATTGGTTCGGCTGCCCGCTCCTCGCGAATCGTTTGACAAAGACAAGTTTTTGGTTGCAATCTCAAGAGTTTCATGTTCGGCTTCCTGGATTGTGACTTTGGCCACAGGGCTTGGTGGGTTTGGAATCGGCTCAGATTGCTTCGGCGGAAGGGGATTAGCTAGCCTTATATGTGCACGTAGCTTCTCTTTCGCTGCCTGGTGTTGTGCGATGCGTTTCGCCTGTTGTTTCTGAGCCTTTCTCTTGGCTTTGATCCTGAGGTAATGCTCCTGTTCTCTCTCTTCGAGGATCTTGCGCTTGATCTCGGCACGTCGCTTTTCCCGATGTCTCCTCTCATGTGCCTCTTTAGCCGCCTTTTCCGCGGCCGACTCGACAAGTTTTCCCTTGCTATGAGCAAGGTCATAGGCCAACCCTATCCGGATCAGCTTCTCTCGGCGGTTTTTGGCATTGTTGCGAATCACTTGGTCGATGGGAAGTACGCCATCGTTCCGCACCGCATCTAATTTGACAAGAACCTCGTAGCTACCAGCTTGAAGGTCGAGTTCAACATTCACAGATCGGTTCATGCGGTAGGATGCTTGACTCCGAACGACATAGTCCTCTTGGCCGGCTTTGTGCAGACGGAATTGCAAATCAAACCGGTATTGACCTTCCAAACCACGGAAGTATCGATCGTCTAGTTGCGCTAGTACGATCACAACCGGGCCCGACTTGGAGATTGTAAACGCGAAATACGTTTCGTGGTAGTCCAGGGTCCATGGCACTGATAGTGTTGTCCAAATGGATGTAACCTTCCACTCGGGACCGAATAACCGGGTAACATCAAATATGTTGTATTTTTTGAGGAGATCGTGGTACGAAATCCAGAAGGCGCCGTCGTCGCCAAACGTATGTTTGAGTTTCTGCAACCACTCAGGGGTCCATTCTTTGGAGCCATCGCCTGCTAATGGTCAGCGCGAGAACGGTAAGACATTATATCTCGAAGACGGAACTCACTCCAAGCTCCTTTCCATTCACCCTTTCCCCAGGGATTCTTCAGTAGAACCAGCCTTTGGCCATCCATTTCGACAGCCTTCATGACGCTGTAGGCGTGCATCTCGATAATGCCTTTACGTTCCCCTAGACCCCTTGATGCAAACCCAGTGGAGCACCCCAGAAGCCAGTCTTCGTTGACCTTTAGGAGTTTCTCTTTCCAGAAGTACTCCTTGTCAAGGATGTCTGTTGTGTAGACCTCTGAGGTTACGCCACCCGTAAGGTCCTCAATGGCCTCGCCCGTGAAACCACCTTCGATGGAGGCATAGTCTCCGTGCGCCTTTGCGTACGCCTTTTCGAGAAGCGGCAGCCATGTCTCGTTGGGATTCTCACACTGAGCAAAGTAAAGCGCGCCACTGTTTGACTGATAAATACGCCTATAGGCTTCTTCTGAATTGATGCGCTCGCGATCTTCCCAGAGAATTCGCTCCAAGTAGGGCTCGTCATAGTCGGGCTTGGTAAGGTACAGCTATGTAGCCGGTTAGAAAGGGCCTCAAGACTTTGTGGGGTCTTCTCGGACTTCTCGTCCAAGGTTTTCCCAATTAGACTGTCAGAGGGGCAATGGAGCATACCTTGTCATCGATGATCTCGCTGAACCACTCTCCATCGCGATGGAAGACAAAACCATACACGCCGACTTCAAGATTATGTGCAACGCAGACTTTCTCGATCAGGCCAGGCTTGTTACTCAGATTGCACAGCGCGGCCATGAGCCAACAGTCTCCATCTCGACCTTGGCGCACATCGTCCGCCGTAGGCCCGTCAATGTAGAATTGCGGGTTGTCGAAGATATCGACCACTCGCTTGACGGCTTTGGGCTGGAAAGCGGACTGCGGAGGTTTCGCGTCCTTGGTATTCCATAAGGTTTCGAGGCAGTCTCTACGCCCAAACTTGAGATCAAACTCGATATCATAGTGAGGATCTCTGTAACGTTGATTGACTCGGCGACACTCGTGAACAATCTTGTCGACCTTGGCTTTGCAGACAGTCGCAGCCCCATCGTACGACGTCTGAGTGAAGATCCCAGTGGCTTTGGAAGAACGCTTCGCGACCCTCTCAGCGTATGCATTCTGAGGAATGACGGTGGTAGCTATTGGCATCAAACACAATCAAGTCAGTCTCACGTTGATGTCCAAGGCGATTCTCCATATCAAGGATGCGACCGACCTTTTCCTGGAGTCTTGGTCGTAAACTTTGTCCAGAATTCGTCAATGATCTCCTGGGGAGGCTGTTGCTTCGTCTTTCGGGGTTTCGTGACGGTTACAGGCATGGTGGCTAAGTATGCTCGGCGGCGCGGGTGGGGGATCACAGACGACGGTACAATCTCGTCGGAGCTCGAGCTGGAGCTCGATAATACAGTGGATGCCATTACGTCTTCGGGGTCGATCTCTTTGGCAGTTGCCTTGGAGTCAAAATAGATGATTGCAACGTTTTTGCGCTTGCCGACACTTGTTCAGCTGGTCAGAGGTAGCAGTCTCAGCTGAGGTGCTCGGCTTATGCTTTCCTGTAAAGTGCGGCTTCAACTCACGGAAGTTTCGAACGTGAGCAAGTTTACCTGCCCAGCTCCAATGGGGTTGAGGTAGGAGAGAAACAACCCACGAAGACCGTCTACGTGGGTCAAGGTCAGGCCGAGGGTGGCGGAGAGGAACAGCATACGGTGGCTAACTTTCAGCAGCAGGCCCATGCCGCGAGCGGTGACTTATTTATCCAGCTTAGGATGTTCCCGACGTTTAGCTTGTGGAATGAGGCTCTGCAGCCTGCTGCATCGACGTTGGGAGAAGTTCTGAGTTGGGCGATGTTGACCATCGGATGACCCAGCCGTACGGAAAGCATCTATAGTCTTACAACATGTTTGTGTGCGACCCTCGTGACATAGTCCCCCAGGCAGAATGAGGCGGATGGCAGATGGACAGGCCAAGATAGGTAGACGTGGATACCTATCAGGCTGCAACTCGAGCATGACGGCAGTTTTCTTACTTGAGATGGCGTGGTAATGCAGACTGCAGCATGCAAGTCCACCCCTCTCATACGTTGGCTGCATTGCAAAAGTCAGCGCTTGGGAGGCAGGCTGGGGCTAGCCGTTATTCTACCCCGCTTGGACACCAAGGCCGTGCCCTGGTATTCAGCATCGTACTTATTGATGACATTAAGGCTGGCCGACTTTCGACACCGGCATCCGCAGTGTGCACAATTAAGCGTAGCCTGTTGCGGTACAGGTGATCCGATAGCCTCACTCAGTCAGACACATGGATGGTGGAATACGCACGTCTACGCGTAGAATAGCCTGCCGACTCTACCGGCATGACGAAGAAGACGAGACGAACACCGACGTCCGGTTACACTTTCCTCGAAAGGATTCCGGGACCGATGGTCATAGCTTTCGGCGTGCCGTTCGTACCCACTCAACTCCGTGTGCACTGGTGCCTACTCATGACCTCATGTCTCTACTACGGGATTTGAAGCTCCTGAAAGCCCACGCAGTCGCATTACGGTGTATCATCACCTCATCCATCACATGGTCAAGCCTGACTGCATGTGACTAGGTGCTCTGCGAAACGCTGACTTGCCTGGTGTTCTTCAGCTGGACCACAGCTCCGCATCTTCTCATACAGGTGCCGTCTATGCCAGGCCTAATCCTTGGCCTTGGAGTATCCCCAGAGTCGTTCTACGATTCTGCTGTATCTACTGAAAGCCGAGTATTTGTAAACTCCGCAATAAAATCATCCGTCGTTAGTCGTAGCAGAGCTGGCGTATCCTGTTCCTGTAGTCCTGGAGCCTCAAAGTCGTTCCTGTGGGCAGCCCAATGCCCACTGTCCTACAGAATCCCCTGTATAGCATCAACCGGTTCAGATCACCCATCACAACTGCGGCACGCCCTACCCCAGAAGAGACTCGGACAACTCAGACAACAACAGCTTCTTTTTTTTGTGCGTCACGCCACAACAGCTTTGCCGGGGTGCTCACCATTCCTCCCTTCAAAGGGATCTTCTACTCAACAACCACTTCCACCGCCCCAAAACTCTTCTTCTTCATAAGATACTTGGATATCTCTCATCCCCTTCCCCGAGCCCCATCTTCCATCCTACGGATCTTCCCGACCCCGATATGCTGGGTCAGCAGTGCAGCCCATGGCCAGCTTTAGCTGTCCACTTATGCCCACTGCCGAGCACAGGGGTAGTGAAGATTCTGGGCCGCGAACGACCCTGGAACCGTCGTTCTGTAGAATGCTACCCTTGCTGCCGTATGCCTGAGTCCAGTTGCGAGTTAAGGAACAGACACCGGAAACAGAGTCGCCTCGTTGTTGGAATATTGAACCAGAAGCAGCATTGTCGAGCCAAGATCCTCCATAAGATGGCTATATGGGTCGTGAACTTTTGTTTCCAACTGCGCTGGATAAGATGCATTCAAACGTGCTTGAGACCATCCGTCGTGAGAGTCGTTTGCTATGAAGAAAGGAAGCCTTTCCCGTTTTGTTCCAGAAAATGAATCGTGTTGATGAAGGGGAATCCGTGTAGACGCCATGTAAAAGCAAAGTATGCCATTTGGCGGCATGCCCATTTTATGCATAGATTGAAATAATAACCAGAATGAAAGGTGGAAGTTGTAGTTGCGGTGATGTTCAAAAGGCGTAATGATTGGTCGTATTGCAGATAAATGAAAGCGACATCGCTGAAGGAATGCCACAAAGGTTTTTTTGAGGGAAGCTGCATCAAGGCAAGCCTGCCTCTATCCTCAGGCCTAGCCCAAGAAGTCGCAACGTCCTCAAGAGAACATGTCCAGAGATCGCCGTCTAAGCAACGGGGGCAATGGGCGCAACAGCGGGCTGAGGGATGCCAGGGGCAGCCGACAGATCAACGTCGTTGGGGATTTCGCCGTTGGTGTTCTTCTGGGGGCAATCGCGGGAGATGTGACCGGCCTCGCCGCACTGGTAGCAAGTCTTGCCAGCAGTGTTGAGGGGACCACCGTTGGGAGCGGTGCAGTCACGAGAGATGTGGCCAAGCTTGCCGCAAGCATAGCACTTCATGGCCTGAGCCTGGCAGTCTCTCGCAAAGTGGTTGGGACCACCGCACTTGTAGCAGGTAGCAGGACGAGGACCACCGGTGAAGGCACCACGGCCGTAGCCACCGTATCCGCCACGGGGAACCGGGGGGCCACCTCGGCCCATGTTGACGCCGGCGGGGTTGGGGCACGCGCGCTGCTCAAACATTAATAACCTGGGCATTGGTCTCTAAAAGCTGGAGTTTCTTACCGCAAGATGACCGGGCTGTCCGCAGTTGTAGCAGCGGCCACTGGTGCCAGCGCCGCTCAGACGCAGGGTTGGGCAGTCAGCCTGAACATGGCCGAGTCCCTGGCAGTGATAGCACTGCTTAGCCTCGGTGGTGCGGGGCAAAGGGCAACCGTTGGACTCGTGGCCGGGTTGCTTGCCTACAACCTGGCGTTAATGATATGCCTAGCAAAAAATTGAGGAGTAAGTGACTCACAGTTGTAGCAGAGGCGCTCGGCGGAAGAGCAAACCTCGGCATAGTGGCCAACATTGCCACACTTATAGCAGGCACGACGAGAGAGGGAAGACATTTTTGATATTGTGTGACTGAGACTTAGTGTTAGCAACAGTCAATAGGTCAGTGCTTCGCAATGTTCATCGGAGCCTCTCTGACGCAGCACAGCAGAAGCTCCAATGCTCCAAGTCGCAATCCAAAAAAAATAACATCGTAAGCAGCAGCAGCAAGCAGCAGCTTTCAGATCGCAGTGTAGTCCGAATTATCGCCTGTCCAATTTGGGAGGATCAGACGCGTCCAAGGCGGAGGTGCAAGCGCCGTGCTCCAGCTCAGCACCGGCGCGGAACTTTGTGCGCATATTGCAATTTTTGATGATCTTCTCCTCGGCAGAAAGATATTTCAGGAGCCGCCAAGTATCGGATCCATCTATTAGCGTGGTGGCGAGTAGCTGAAGTTGAGTTGAGGGATTATCCAAGCCGATCCACCGAGGGCTTTCTGGGAGAGCAGCGCATCGACTCGAGCGCAAGCGCGGGGCCGGGGTAGCGGGGATGATAGCAAGCGAGACGGCGCAATTGTGCGACTCCGGATTCAACACTGACGGAGAGCCGAGAATCGATTACCGGGTCGATGTGGCATGCGGCAGGCCGACGCGGCTGCGGTTGGATTTGGGAATGGTGGGCTAAATTGGATCGCTGCATTGTGTTCGCGGTAGGGCACACGACTGCGACGCGCGAAACTCGGCGCATATGTGCGGAATTGCGACCAGGCCAACAATAGGCGGGGTTGGCGCATCATCGAAGCCGGTCGCGTTACGCAAACGAGTCCGACTACAGAGCAATGACGATCTGGATTCCATATCTGAATCGAAGTAGATGGGAAGCCGAATGTTGTAGTTTGCGCTCGCCGAATTAATTGTGTTGTGTTGCGATGCGATGCGATGCAAGTCGAGAAGTGTGGGCCGAATGCTGATGCCGATGCCGACGCTGATACTGGTGCTGATACTGATGCAAATATTGATGCTGACGGTGCGGATAGACTAGAGAAACGGCGGCCGCCGTCGCTGCTGCTGCTTGCTACTTGTTCCTCTTACTCGCTACCGTGATGGGCTGGGCTTTCGGGTGCGTCGTCGCATGCACTTGATGCGACGGCAAGGCGAAGAAACGTCACGGCACCACCACATGGCAGCAGGGAGCAGAGGACGAGGGGGGAGGGCCGGGTAGAAGGACAGAGGGGTAAAGGTAAGGTAAGGCATGGTAAAGTACCGGTAGGCGGGCGAGAGCGAATGGGAATTGTGCGGACAAGACGCAAAATGCAGGAACGAAGGGTCGAGGGCGAAACTCACCTTTTCGCGAAAAATTGCCTTTGAGAAAATCGGGGACGTCGAGTTTGTTTCGAAGAGAAAATGCGGTTGACTATGCGGGAAGGGGGGAAATAATAATTTGTGAAGGAGGAGGAGGGGTCTAGTAGTTGGGAGGAAGAGGTAAGCGCAAGTGGCCAGGTGAGAATGGAGTGAGGTAAGGCACTCGCGGTAAGGTACGGAGTAGGAGTAGGAGGAGTATTAGCGGGGATGGGTTCAGGTTGAATGGAACCGGGGACTGGGACCTGACTGAGGTGGGACTGGGACTGGAACGAATAGGTTGGATGGACCTGGAACTTGGAAGTGAGGTAAGGTAAGGTGGGAAACGGAGGACGGAGGCGAGGAAACGTGCTTCCGAATTATATTTCTCTTGCAACCGCTTAGATTCTACTTGGTAAGGTACGGATACAGATACCGTATTACTTCCTTCCTCCCCATGATGGTACCTTCCATCACCCTTCAACACCTTACCTTCCCTTAGGTAAGGTACCTACATAAGGTAGAATCGAATGGAATGTCCTTAAGCAAGGCAGGTGGCACCTCAGTTGACGACCTGCCTTACCTGAAGGTAGACTTTGGCTCACAAGATCATCGGACTTGACGCTGGCGAAAAATTTTCAAAACACCACACAGAATGAGGGCGAGTCGGAACAAGGTTCTTTTGGTGCCAGTGCGTGAGAAATGGCATCTACACAAGACCGGGAGGCTACCTTAGAAGGAAGGGGGTACATGACAAGGAAACAAGACATCCAAAAGAGGATGGCCACATCCATCACACCTTGTTTGGTGAAGTCTACCTACTTCCTCCGCCTTCTCCGCCTCTTTCCCTGCTTCTCGCCCACGGCCTCTTCCTGCTACTTCAACTGCTCTCCAACTGCCCTCGGTACCTGGCACTTTCTTCTCCTTCTTCTCCTTCTTCTCCTTCTTCTTTTTCTTCTTTTTCTTTCCGAGGGACTTGACACCAACAGTCAGTGACTGCTTTTCTAACCCCTTCCCCTCATGGGAAGGTTAGGTAGCGTTGAGAGGGGGAACCTCCATGTACACCACAACCAAGCAAACCCCTTCCTGAACTTGACGAGAAAGGAAAGGACGGGACTGGGCTGGCTGGATTGAGGTGCTCTGAGCGTGATGGGCTGGGTTTGACTGGGTTGGAGAAGCGCGTGTGGCAGGAGACAAGGAAAGGTGCGTGTGGGACGTCTACCTCGAATCGGCGTAGCGCGTTTGCACCAATCCAACCAAATCACTCAGCTCTGTCTCCTGGCTCTTGTTGGAGGCCATGACATTCTCAACGTGGGCTGGGACTCTGAGAGCCATCACGACTTCTCTTTGCCCACTACCTTCACACTGGCCGATAGTCACAGAGCGCACACCTGGAAAGTGGACCTCGATCTGAGATGGTATCAACTGGTCAATTGGACTTTCGAGTCCGGTTCTCTCGTTGCGGACATTTGGAAACCTTGTACCTCACGATGCCATACCTACCTACCTAGCCCATGGAACTTGGAAGAGTTGCACTTGCGCTTGATACGCACCCGCTTAAAACTGCATCCCTTGCATTTGCGGCTTGCCCTGCACCTGCAGATTCAGTCACCCGCTGCTCCTCCCACATCCCACGTCCGCCAATGACGGATGCTTTCCTGTCCATGATTCGATACCTACATTCCCTTCCCAAGAACCAAAAGCAAAGAAGGCCCAAACCCCTTTTTGATACTCACCCCAAGCTTTCAAGCTCATGTGGGTGGAAGTTCTTCCATAGGTACCAACTTACATTTGAGAGCAGGAGACAAGAGAAACATGTACACAAACGACGGAATTGATGAAAGAGTTCGAAGCCCATCGGATACGATCAGGATTCTGTCAGTCTGCCTCACATTCGGCACAGACCATGAGAGGACGGGCGCGGACCACGAGGGCAGTTGCTCATCACCATGTCTAGACTCAACACTCAAGTGTCAAGGCTACCTATGTAAAGCCATCAACCAAGAATCGTCAAAAGTGGAGGGCGGGGACAAACAAGTTCCCCTCGCCGCTCGGGCCAGGTATCACAACGATGCCCCGACAAGTCACTCTTTAGCCAAGGCCCCTACTCCTGGTAAGTAGTCATCTGTTGGCGAGACTCTCTTGACGCGAGTCTCGACTCTTCACCCCGTCCGAGTTCCAACTCACCTCGTTCTCACTCTACCGAGCGACGGATTCTCCTCATCCTCACTGTCCATCGTTCACCAGGGTCAACTTGATACGCCACATCCAGTCCAATAAAGACAGCCTGTATTATCAAACAAAGTTCAAACTTGTCCTACTCAGCTCGTCTTCCGCTGCGCCAGACCTTGCCAAAATTGGAAGCGCGAGGTAAGTTTCATGTTGTCCTTCTCACAAACCTTGCCCTCACCCTGAACAACCTCACCACGTGCTCACCCAACTCTGCGTTACATCTCTCGTCTAGCGACGAAGTTGACCAGCCAGTCTCACGTAACCACTCGGTAGTTACGGAGTGCGGACACTCGACTCCTGACGAACTAGAGGTCCATGTTCGCAACCTCTGGATCAAAGCACAGAACAAACACGAGCGCACAAACATCCTCTTCTACAGTATCCGTACAACAGCGCCTATCTCACTATCAACTTCACCATGTAGGAGGACCACAGCCACCTCTCCACGTGCTAGTCCTCTTCTGTTGGCACTTGCCTCTCAGTCCAGGCCTCGTAAATCCGCGCGCTAAGAGAAGACACTTGAGCAAACTTGGAACAGTCATCCGGGCCAACGGGGTCAAAAGCCCTCACAGTGCATGCCCACCTGAATGTGCCGCCCAAGCAAAGAGAACCAGACTGAAAAAGATATGTATCAAACCCAGTCCTCATGGCGTCCATGTGGCGGTTCCTGACCCGGTGATTGTCCGTGTGTCGCGACACTTGGACATGTCTCAACATCAGTTCCCCGCCCTAATCCCCCTGGCCACAGGTCCGAGGCTCACTTGCAAGTGGCTTGCAGGGTCGAAAGGCAGGAATTTGCAATGGGAATAGCTCTGTGGACACCTGCATTCTCGAGATTCTGAGCTTGCGCAACGCAGCCCGGTAGGTGACCACGGACAGCTGTTTCCGCTTGCTCACAGACAGGTTTCCAGGTATCTGATTCTTCCGCCTGGGAAGCCAGAAGCTGCGATGAGCATGCAGCATATAGGTAAAATGCAGCTTTACGTATGGGCTACCGCAACGGATTTGCTACTGCCTCGTTGATTCTGCAGGACGGGATGCAGAACCTTGTCTGACACAGTTCGTGCATCCGCAGAATACCGCCCGTACTAAGCGCACTGCTGTATTTCCGCACCGAAAGGCCTTTTCCCGCTTGGGAGTTGAGATCAATCATCTTCTGCAGAGCCGCCAGGCCAGATCGTCCGGGGTAAACGTAAGCCCAGCCATGCTGTGGAACCACTCTCGCAGAACACCCCGCAGCTACCAGTCGTCATGCTGAACAACATGCAAGAAAGTGTACTGTGCAGTCATCAGTCTTTTTATACCCTTCTCGTAGATGTATTCTACGTGGTTCTCCATCCGAAATCGCTCGTGTCATGTCTTCTCTCTTATATTACACTTTCGTACTTGCCTCTTGAATTGCCAAGCATGATATTGTGGCCCCCAGTACGAACATCACCATACCGCGGCAATTCCAAAGTACCGCACGTCATGGCTTCTGCTTCTGCTTGTGCTGCCTTCTGTGCCAGATCCTCAGGTTGGAAAATAGTACTTCGACTTCTCAATGCTCTCACGAATACCGCCAGCGCCTACGCCGCCAAAATCATATAATATAATAACTAAGCCCCTTCTCTGTGCTCAAGGAGTGCGAGCCCTTTTCTTTTCCTTTCTTCTCTCTTGTCATGACCGTGGCAGGTCGATCCCCGTTTACATGTTTACCATGCACTCCTGTGTTCACCAATCCGCCCCCGTTCGGAAGGATGTGTAGGTAGTGGGGTAAGTACGTCAGTCATTGCTGCCGGGGCCATGGATCGGGGTCGAGCTTCCACGACATAGCTCACCCCGTCCTCTGATGCGTATGATGGGGGCCGAGGACCAGTGCTGCTTTCTCCGCGACTGGATGTTCCCTCGTTCGGCGCGGCGTTCGGGTTGCGCTGCCAGTAGATGCGGTTGGGGTCAACTCTCTGAATGCAACTTGTCAGTCCAAAAAACTTCCTCACGTGTAGTACCACACTTATAAGTATTACATACCACACTCTCTCGCCAGAGGCCATAGGCTGGGGGCTTGGCCAGGACCGCCTCGCTGACCTCTCCTTGCTCCTCTTCATCGCGCGCCAGCACAACTCGGATTGGTTCTCGTGGTACGGCGTAGCCACCGGGTGCCAAAAGTTGCGGCATCGGCGGCCTGGTCTCATCGTTGACCCGCGGTCGGATGACAAGCATGCATAACCGGATCAAGCCGTGACAGAAGAATATCGTGACGAACAAAATAATGAGAATCAACAACACAGTGAACTCGCTACTGCGAATATTTTGTGTGAGGGAGAGTGCTAAATCTATTCAAGTGGTTAGTCTCTGATAATATTACGCCAAACAATTCCCATAAGCTGGGCTGGGGCACCACTTACAGACGGCGAGAAGGAGCGTCAGGAACCCGCCTGAAATGAAGCAGCGGAGGATCTGAGATCGCATACGCCGTGATTTTGGCCATGGAATACAGAGAAGAAATCGTTTAGGATGGCCCTCGTTGTTGCTGTCCTGTTGCTGTCGACGATGTGCCCGTCGTCTGCGCCGCCGACCTTCTTGTGCCATGTTCGCCAGATGCATCTCTGCAGGATCTGGCCCTGTGAACCTCCTCGTCCCGCTGGAGGTTTCGGTTTCGGGGCGCCGTGCGACAGGCGCTGGCATTGTCACGCGAGTCGTAGCTGATGGTTGTCCGGCTCTGCTCGTCGTGGGCGGTTCGGGGGAAGAAGACTCGTCGACTCGGTTTAGGGGTTGTTGCGATGTCGAATTGGGCCACGAATCGGCGCCATTGGAATCGCTGGTCCATGTTCTTGCGAGGTGTGGCAGGTTCAGACGGGTTCCTGGCAGTGTCGGGAGGCCAATGTTAAACCGTGGTGTTTTCGGGCTGTCGGATTCCTCGTCTCCTAGCCTTTGCATCCCGTTGCCGGGACGCCTCCGTGAAGAGAGGGAAGGCCTTGTGCCAGGCAAGCGCCTCGACCGAGGCCGTGAGCCCTCTTCCATTTCTGGTTGTGTAGATGGCCCTGCCAGAGCCTGCTGCTCGATATCCTCCCCCTGCGAGGAACGTCCTCGTCTAAGAAAATCCATGGCGAGTAAGTTGAGTTGTATGCCAGACACTTTGCCGTTGAGAGTTGGCAGATGAGCTGGAGTTATCACCGTTCAAGTTCCTCGCATTCTTCGGTGTACCTATATGTTGGCTTAGTCAAGGTGAGCAGTCGTCGAGTGTTTCGTCGTCGTCGTCCAGCGGCAGTCGTCAATGGCGTTGGAGGCGCAGAACGCAACGGCGAGGTTCCCCTGTTGGCCAGTTGCACAAAGGAATCGAGTCAGCCGCGACAGGAAGAACAAAGGCTATCTTGTCTCCTAGTGCGGCAGTGGCGAGCTGAAAGTAACGGGTGGAAAACGGCCGCAAAACACCAATGATGGTAGTCGATGAGTTAACGGCGCCTTGTTGATAAAAGAAGTCCCAAGGGATGAAAAGGGGCGCCTTGCGTGGTCGACGGAAGGCTGATACTCGCGTTCGCAGGAGCACAGTTTGGAGAAGAGGGTATCAAGAAGGGTAACGTTGGCTAGGTAATGTAGCTCCCGGAGCTAAGAGAACAAGCGACGGTCTACAGACAGCGTGACTTAAGGAGGAGGAAGAATAAGGAGAATGAACTAATCTGACAATGAGGGCGAAGACGCCAGGCGGGCTAGCAAGAAGCAGAAGATGAGGACAATGCCAAAAAGGCAGCTGGCGCCAACATGACGCTGGGCGCGATGTGGTATGGTGAAGAAAGAGGAACAGATCACAGAGGGACTGATAAAAGAAGGGAGCAAGTTACGATGGGCCAACAGCAACCAAGGTACAGGGTGGCAGGCGTTGTTTCCGAGCGTCCTCTTCGTGGTCCGCCGGCGACCACAGCCAGCAGTTCGGTCCAAGGCAGGGCTAGGCAATGCGAGGGCTGGTGTATGCAATGTCAAGCCAAAAATGAGAGGTAAGGAGGCGTCGATGGGCTAACGAGTCTGGCGTCTGCAGCATGCGGTTGGTCTAGATGTGTGTCGTTTGGGGATCAGTGTACGGCGGCATTGGACAGGACAAGAAAAGAAAGCGGCGAAGTTGGTCAAGCAGACGCCACGCCAGTCTCATCCCAGCATACGAGGGATTCTGCGACTTGCGACTCTGGAGAACCTGGAAGGGGGAGCAAGCGGACGGGATAGGGGTGTTTGAGAGGGCAGGACGAGAGTAGGATCTGACGAGGGAGAGGGGGGATTGGGGGAGGAAACGCGCAGGATCTGCAGCATCGAACAGGTCGTAACGCCTACACAATATCTGCATTTAGACCCTTGCATCCTACCTACATACGACAGCCGCAAGGTAGTCTTGGCTTGGCCCAGACTTTGTTGTGGGCGATTCATTAGTGAGTGTACTGGGTACCTCCATACACACGGAGTATGGATACAGAGAGATGAGATGGGATGGATGAGAGTGCACTCGTAAGGTGAGGAAAGGAAGGCACTTCGTATGCAATGAAACTGAATCGAGGACGGCAAGGATAATGCAGGAAAACCTCCCTCCGTCTTCCTCTCTCTCCAGACACTCGCAGACCTACGGATGCTCGCAGTCTGAGCTCTTGACGACTCGGCGCAGATGTAGCAGTGCTGGACGGGTCGGGTTCACCCATCGATTCTTGACTTCTCTGACAATTGGAGTGTTGCACAGCAGTCAAGGGGGTTGCTTCTGGAAACTTGGGAACCAATCGTATGAGGCGAATGAGTTGACCTCCTCGGACACCGTCACAACTTCACAACCCTCCGCACAGCGCGTGGGACCTGCCCCGGGTACTCCGTAGAGTACGTACCGAATCAGGAAGGGCTCAGGGGGCCCGGCTGGAGATAGAAACGTGTTTCGGATTCTTGTGTCGACGCGCGCCAACCCTTAATTGGACTAGACCCATCAGGGCGCGCGGAAAGGGGTTCTCTCATTGGAGTCTCTGCTTCTCTTGAAGAAGGGGACGCCAACCCAGGCCCCCCATGGTTTGGGCTGGCGTTTGGCGTTTGGCGGTTGGCGTTTTGAGTCTCCCCCCAACTTCAGTTCACGTCTGCCATTTTGTCTTTCCAACTGCTTTGCCTCCAAAGATCCGTACCTCCGTGTGCACGAATATCTGTGAATGGCAATTATAGGTGACATTGGCGGCAAGAATAGCAGTCTTTCGCGCCTCAGCTTAGCGTCCTTTGCGGATCATTCGTCTCGTTTGGATTTAGATGGTTCCCGTGGTCAAACTCCTGTGATGAACCCTGGCATCTACGTAGCACGGAGTACTCCTACGCAGTAATGAAAACCCATGCCTCTTGCGCTAATGTGGGGGTTATATCGCCTCGAACCTCCACTTGTAATCAGATATCTTCTAATAGAAAACATCCATGGTTCAATTGGAGAGCAGCAGCCTTCCATTTGATTGTGTACGGTTACTACGCGGACATAGGTCTTGACAACAAGATTGCATCCATCACACATTGTCACGATGAGCCGTTGTTGGCGTCTTTCTCGTGTGCCATTACCTCAGCGTACGGTTTTGCCTCTATGGATATTAGCTGCCGTGAGTACACGTGTGACAGCTAGAGAAGGTTTCGCGGTGTGCCGCCCAATTGAATCGAGACACACAAGCTGGGACACTTGACCATTCGGAGCCGACGCCCCTCCGCGTCACCGTCCAAAGCCACTGCATTCAACAGTTGTACTCTTTCTCTTTTCTACTCCTTGATTCGCACTCGGTCCGTCAGATTGCGCAATGTTCCGACCTCCGAGCTGCGTTTCTAATCTCTCTAGAAGCCGATAGAGTTCAACGTCCCAGAAACTTCCGCATCACGGCCGCGCACCACACGATCCAAGGAGGAAACATGGGGCCCATGGCCCTTGCTGGACATATGGCTGTGGGCAGCCTAGCTAGCTGGACATGCCCGTGACATCATCTCATTACAAGAGTCATTCAATTGGGGACCATGCCTCTGCAAGCCGAATTACTCCTTATTGAAGCTACGGTGCTAACTTGGTATTTCCTGTGAAACGAACCACGCGATCTTGTCTCAAGGTTGCCCTTATGAGACAAAACGAAGACACATCGGATGAGCATTTCTAGGCCGTGTTACTCGCGAACAAACACGCCTCGCCCAAACTCCCTGCGTAAGCCATATGCAGCTGGCAGCCGCCGGTATCGGTATTTTCCTACAATTCCAAGCGGCAGTTCCCGAATATGTCTGCCCGCGTTTGCGTTATCTGATCTATTCCAGTGTTCGCGAGATTCTGCCATGATCAACACCGGATACTCATGCTCGTGTCCCGTTTATGCCCCCCTGCTGCCATACTGGGATGATATGCCTTCGCAGATGGCACTTACCAGGGCTTGGTATGAGTTGCTAGGACCAAACGTTCCTGGCTTGCTTGTGATGCGATAATACATGGATTGTATATCCGTAGAGCGTCTCTGCGCCGCATATGCACCGCACAGTCCGCACCGAGAGCATGCAGGCAGAATATTGAGTTGGTGCAACATCAGAAGACGCGGACTAGGCGTTGACGATGTGGCTAGCATGGAGAAAGCCCACTGGTGGTGGTTTATTTCACCGCAGCTCCCCCAGTAGCATATTCCGATCAGACGACGCGGAAAGTACTATCACAATTTGTTAGCCCAACGTCAATTGTATCGCGAAAAGAGATAATGCTCACCGATTGGCTCCGTTCCGGGCGCGAACTCGACACAGTTGACGGTTCCCTTATGACCCGGAAGCTTGTACAGGAGCTTTCCAGTCTCACTAGACCAGATAGTGGCAGTACCGTCTCCGGACCCGACAGCCACCTTCTTGCCTTCGGAATCCCAGCTAGCCTTGATGAGGTTCTTCTCCAGGCCCATGGACGCGCCGTCGAACGTTCTGATGGCTCTATCGGTCGGGGCAAATGGCCGAATGTCCCATGTCCTCACTGTGGAGTCCATGGCATATGAAAGCAAAGATTGCGAGTCCGGAGAGACTCTGAGGGAGGTGATCGTATCTTGGTGTCCCAGCATCGAGTAAACGACCGATTTTTTGCGCAAGTCCCAGACTTTAATGTCATTGTCGATGCCTCCCGTGTAGACCTCGTTTCCAGCCTCTGACATGGCAATGGCCGTAATGGGAAATTCCGTCTGGATGTAGTCTGCTGCGTTCTTTGATCTCGGATCCCACAAGCCGATAGAGCCGTCGTCACTTCCACTAACTAGCATATCCTCGCCTCGTTTGCTGAGGTCCACTGTATTGACGATCTCTTCGTGGCCGATGTATCTTCGTATTCTTGTTCCGTTCTCGAGGTCCCAACTTGCCAGGTGCATGTCTGCCGAAGCCGAGAAGACTATTTTGGAGTCTCTCGACCATTGGAGATCTAGAATTGCGCCTCGATGGCCGTTAAGAATGCCGTAGTTTTCGCAGTCCCCATACGTTCGCCACAACACTACTCGCGAATTAGTTTCACCTCGCCAGCGATAAGAAGATATTTAAACTGACAAATGCTTCTGTCCATAGATCCTGAGGCAATGAAATTGCCCGTTGGGTCGAATTTCGCAGCAAAGATCTCGCCTGAGTGACCAGATAGTTCCATGACCGGTGCCTGCAGGTTACTTGTGCGCGGTGTCTGTCGGCCAGGCCGTCAGTAAGTTTCCAATTGGCAATGAAGAGTAGTCGCATACCGCCTGCACTAACGCACTGCTCTTTCCCGAGGCGTTGAGCCTTGCTAAAGCTCCTGTTGAAGATCCCACATTCTGACGCTTGACGATCATCTGGCTTGCGCCGAGCTCGTCATCCGCCGGTCTCTTCTCAGCAGACATGGCTGCAGTCGTCGAACGTGTTTCTCGAGGCTCGTGGGTGTTCTACTCGAAGCAGGATCGTCGTATGGCGTAGATCGTGCTGATTCGCGTCGATTTGAATGTCAATTGAATCGGGCAAGCGGTTGTTGACTAGAGAAAATGTGCTGGCTGAGGTCATTGGCCCATGCGAGGTTGGGATGTGGACGGAGCTTGCTTCTGCCGACCCCCGAGCTAAAGGTGGGACCTCGATTCAGAGGACCTGGAGAGTCCACCTCGGTGCATCTCCATACCTTGCTTCGAGGTACACTACCATACCTAGCAGTGCGTAAATTACCTCTTGGGTAGGTATCCGTGCCCAGCTTTCATTGCACTTCCCGCAAGCTTATCTTATCTTCAACCTCATCGATGTCCACGAACACCAGCTGGCACCTCACGGTTCATTCGAGCCTCTCGTCCAACTCCGATCAGTACGACAACCGACGACGGCAATAGCCCTTGCGACCGCCGTATCCACCGATATCGAAGACTTGCGATTGCACTTCACTGTACGACGTGAACGGCCCCAGACAACCCACGTGAACGACGCAACGTGCTTGCGATCCGAGGCGGCAGCCACTTCCGCGACACAGCCCGGTACCAGGCGTCCGACGCCAGCGTTACTTCCCTCCCTTACTATTTGGCAGGCGTCTGCGAGGAATCATGGCCGCAAGCAAGGCAACCCGCTTGGGAGAGGAGTGCGTTTTCGAGCCAGCCCCGGGCGTGGGTAGACAGAAGCTAACAATGCAGCAGAATCTGGAAGTACGTTGCGTGGCACCTGAATGCCCAAGAACGAACAAGTCTGACGTGCTTGATTGTAGAACCCGTATAGACAAAGTCAACGCCGAGCTCGTCACCCTCACCTACGGAACAATTGTTGCGCAGTTGTGCAAAGATTACGATAGCGACTATGTCGAGGTCAACAAGCAGCTGGACAAGATGGGATACAACATCGGCCTTCGTCTCATTGAGGATTATTTGGCAAAGTCGAATACAATGAAAAGATGCGCAAACTTTCGCGAGACCGCAGACGTCATTGCAAGAGTACAGTTTCCCTGACTCATAAAGTATTGAGCCTGCATGCTGACCATTGCGCACTAGGTCGGCTTCAAGATATTTCTAAACATCACGCCACAGGTGACCAACTGGACGACGGACAACAAACAGTTCTCGCTTGTGTTTGACGACAACCCTCTCGCAGACTTTGTCGAGCTGCCCGATGACGAGCGAGCGCAGGATGAGCTCTGGTACTCCAATATCTTTTGTGGAGTCTTGCGGGGAGCTCTTGAGATGGTGCAGATGCAGGTCGAAGCGCACTTCATCAGTGACGTCCTGCGAGGCCATGACACGACCGAGATGAGGGTGTCATTAGTGCGGTACATTGACGACGAGCTTCCTCCCGAAGATGACTAGATGTTATTGCATCTTGCCACGCAACATTGTTCTTTACCATAACCAGACGTGCTACAATGGGTTGTCCCGCATCGACACAAATTTGCTATCTGTCGATGGAATTCTGGAAAATAGCGCGCAGCCTCAATTCCCTGTTCGCTGGTGGAGATGGAGGGCGAGGCCAGCTTCATCGCTCATGATGATGCGCCAAATGCACCTCCATGGAATCATGAAGTAGGTGAATATCGCGGCCAGGCGTATATCACATGTAACAAGATGGAGACAACTGGTAAAGCGCCTAAGCCGCAGACATGACCTACACGATATCAAAAAGACTTGTTCATACGAAAGCCACCACTGCCAACGTGAAATCCCGAAGTTGAAGGCGATTGTTGATATGATATTGCTATAATTGGGTACAAGGGTGGGTCAGACTAGTTAGGGAGAAGATCGTCTACTGAACTGGGCGTCTTCAAGCACATTATTATACGTAGATGTGGTTCTTTTCAAAGTTCCTTCGGGCAAGCTGTGTTTGCGGCGATTCAGCCTCTATTCCCGCATGCCTTGAAATGAGTTTCGAGACAAGTTGACTTTCATGGAATTGCCCAATAGACCGACGGTAAGCATTGAACTTCATTCAGTGAGCGCTTAAGAAAAAGAGATTTCACCACCGGTGTGGCTACGTCTCTTGGTGCTCATGCTTGGAGTCGAACTCGAGTACTCGTAGCCTGTCGCCGAGTAGGCTGTGGGCGAATTGATTGTTGACCTTGAACAATCCCACCATCCAGCCGGTTTGTCCTGAACCACCGACGTAGAGGGCGGCCTGCTGTTTCTGGTGACAGCAACTGACTTGAGGGAATATATGAGGGCTTCTTGTAGCATGTGCGGAAGGTAGGGAAGGTATGATCAACACCTGCCTTCAGGACTGCCGGTCGATCTTCGGGAAATGTGGGGCATCACGGGACCCGTCATGGGGCACTTAGGACGGCAATGGAAAGTGCCCGGATCCTTCTGACAAAATGGTTACAGTACGGAGAAGCCGTGTGCAGCAGCAGCAAAGCCGGGCAGTTCGCAAAAAGAGTATAAGCAGCAAATTTACACACATGGCAACCAAGCATGCAATCTAGGCAGGATTACCAGGCGACACCAATTTGCGAGTCTTTAATGTTCATTTGCCCTTACTTCAGTTTATTGGATCAAGTGTTTTCAAGTTTACTCCTGTCGAGATGATTATACGGAACCTTAAGCTTGCTCGAGAGGTCCGTGCCACGGCCCATGGCTTGCCTTTCATTTCCCGACTGAAGCTGTTAGTTAATTATGGATACTTAGGCTCAGAGAACCTGCGAATGATCACAATTACTCTTTGGCTCAATGCCGGATGGAGAGAACAAGCCCCTTTCGATTCCCAGGCCTCAATGCGTCATATCGGTGTTGCAGAAGCCGACGTGCAACGGACTTGCCGGTACATAGGTAGACATCTGAGCGTGAGGGAGCATGGAACGAACCACCTCGGTTCTCTATTCACAAGCAGGTGAGCGCATTGATTGGAACAAGGCTGTATAGGAAATGCAACAATCGCATCCCAGGCGACGTTGGAGTCATTGGTCGTACTCGTGTCGCGCGGCGTGTTCAAGATGCTTTTGACATTGTGCCTCACGTAACAGACAGGTCAAAGAAGCTTATACACCTGAGGCGATGCTTCTAGATGTGCATGGAGCCTCCAGTCAGCTTCAGAGCAAGAAACCGGTAAAAGGGAGCGGGAGGCGGGATGTCGGATACCAAGTGCCTTGGGCGGGTCGTGAATGGTAGCCTCTGTCAGAGCTCTCCACCTCACGCCACGAGAAGCTGGAGGGCAGACGCGTCTATGCCAAACAGGATCTCATTTTGACTGAGACGTTTGATGGAGCGCGTTTTTTGGTGCGGCCCATTCAAGATGCGACGTCAGCAGAAGTGTGAAGATTGGGTATGCTGGTGGAAGCGGCGCGCAGCTAACACCCGGTACCGGGTCATAAGCTCGACGTGCCACAACGCGACTTCCAGCATGGCACCCCGGGCTCCCATGCCGATGAGATAAGGTACTTAAGATCGCTACCTTAGCTCCAGGGAAGGTAAAGGACCTTAACGTGGGTTGGTGGGAGCACAAGGTTAGATAGCTAAGGTAGTCCAGAGCCCTCTGAAGCCTCAAGCCCAAGCACGTACCTTAACGGGTACCTACCGCCCTAAAGCTTGAGGGCTCCTTCGGAGTTTTTCAGTTCGCCTAGGTAAGATAGTAGTACCCGGAGAGCTGGAAAGCAAGCACGCAAGTTGGAGGTGATTGTCGATTTTTTGCCTTTGACGATTTGGCACGTGGCCTCAGGCAACAAGCGGTCTCAGATATTCGCAGCTCATTCTGAGATATGCGACATGCCCGGCGCGGGTGCGCGCCTCACCTCGTGCCGGGCACCTCACCTTTCTTACAGGACTGGCTACCTTCTGGCACCCATAGCGGCCTACGGGCGTACTTCGTTCAGTGCTCGTGAGGTCTCTAGAATCTGAAGTTTGAGGTGAATAGGTAGAGATGCCGCCTCCTGCCCAAGCGTCGCATGCCCCGAAAATTGGGAAAATCCCAACCCCATCCTTTCCACTCTCCTACTCCCGCCCGTCCTGGTCTTCCCGTCCTCCTTTCCACCCCGACTGTGTTTTTCTGCATTCAAGCATTGTCGACTAACACTTAAACACCCTAAGGTACGGAGTAGGTGCTTTGCCCTCTAACCCAAGGCGCCCCTCTCTTTTCTCCCTCATCCTCTCGCTTCCTCCGATCTCTACTTCCGCCTTTCCCTTTCCTCCTCAAATCACCTATCCACTTCCACCCCTTGGACATTGGATGGCCTCGCATGCCGATCACATCTTCAATGCCAACGTGGTCTCGATAACGTGTTTGTTACTCTAACGAGTCCTGATTCATGGTCACTGCCCTCGCGCCCCGCGAGACACTCGTCCATCTTCAAACCGACCTTGCCTGATCGGCCTAGCGACCGCGGCTTTAGGGACCGGTCAGTCGACCCTCGCTACGGAATAACATCCCGCCATTCTCCACAGCTGGTAACACCGACGAAGCCAGACCTTACAGACCGACCATCTCACTCACCTCACCCATTATTAGCAGTAACACCACCGCCCAGAACCACGGTGGTCCACATCCACCTTCACTTCGACGCTGCTTTCCCCCCGGAGAGCGAGGAACCCCCCTTCCCCCCCCCCCCCCCCCCCAAAGCCAAACCCAAATCCAAATCAAATACCTAGCCACCCAGAAGGGGCCACACTGCCATACCCTGAGCCACAGCCTGAGCCAGAGCAAGAGCCAGAAACACCAGGTCTTCCTACCCCCGACCCCCGAGTCGCGCTGCTTTCCCTCCTCCTGTCTTTCATCTTTCCACTCTTCCCATTTCCTTTCAAAGTCCCACTCCCTCACCTGCAACTGCCTTTGGTGGCCCATCCCGTCGCCCTTCCGCCTTCTTCAACATCTCGCCCTCGCATCAATCCTCCTACCCCCTCCAACCCAAATCCGCCACAGCTTCTGTCGCTGCCACGTCTTTCGACTCTTTTTTTTCTTCCTCTGTACCAAACCATATCTCACCACCGCCATCGTCACTGGTCGCGCATCCCGCCATCTGTCGCGCGCCTCTGTCTGCACTCCCCAGCCTTTCTCTTATCCGTCCAACTGAAGGCTCCTTGTACCCTTGCGCCCGACCGCTGAATCCGACACGACTTTGCCGCCAGCCGGCTTTTTAGCGCACCGCGTAACCACGTACACGCTCTGCGAGACTCCCACCTCCAACCACAAGGTGGCTGACCGACAAACTTTTGACGACATCGACACTCTTTCTTCGCTTCCGAACAACCACCATCCTTCAATCAGCTTCTCCTTTATCCATCGCATCGACCTCACCCCATCTCGTCGGGCAGACGCTTGTCTGCAGCCCGGCTCACAATCATGAACGCCAACGTCAACCCCAACCTGGCCAACATGAACGTCATGGGCGGTGGCCCTGTTGGCGCGCCCGTCCCTATGATGAATAATGGCGCAGTCGCTCCCCAAGTCGCCGGTGGTCCACGACAGATGACCATGCCCACCGAGAGCCAGCGCACTCTGCTCAACACCTACATCTATGAGTACTTCCTCCGCCATCAAATGTTCGATTGCGCTAGATCCCTCCTTAATGGAGACCACCAAGTGAATGTCATGAAGGACGGTGCCAATCGCCGAAGGGACGAGAACGGTAACCTCATCGGCAATGGTCTCGGTGACGACCCCATGGACACCGACTCCAAAGACGACATTGACGCGAAGCTCCCTGATGACCTTCCGGCCCCCAAGCTGCCCATGCCTGCCTCAGAATCATCCTTCTTGTACGAATGGTTCTGCCTCTTCTGGGACATCTTTCACGCGCAACGGACAAAGGGTGGCAACGGTCCCGTCAATCAATATGTCAGCCATACTCAGGTATGTCGTTATCCGTCGGCGATTCTCTGTCTATGTCTGGATCATCACTAACCGAGCTGAATAGCAGCAATCTCGCATGCGACAGAACCAACAGCAAGAACTTCTCCGCCAGATGCGCCCAGACGGCATGGCCGCCCAGCAGCAATATCACTCCCAGATGATGCGCAACATGCAAAATGGCGGTATGGCCATGAACATGCAAAAGGGCAACTTGGCACGGGCCGCCATGGCGAATAATCAGAACAAGTGAGGCTTTACAGATTCGTGCCTCCCTTCATCATGTGTATGGTTTGCTAACCCAAATTCCCCCTACAGCCCCCAGGCCATGCAAATGCTTCAGCAGCATGCGAAGCAAACCCAGATGCAGCGAGACCCTTCGGACATGGATGGCAACCGCCAACGCCCCTCGTCGCCTGGCTCTGGTGAAAACGCCCCTTCCCCCTCCAAGAGACCACGCCTGGACGGTGCGCCCAACTTCCCGAACCAGCCTGGAATGATGCCGAACGGAAGACCTCAGCAGGGCATGCCGGGCCAGCAG